AGTAACTAAAAGGATAGCAGCAAAGATGCCTTTCTGAGGGAAATCAAAGCCCCACCTGTCAGTCATCCCCTATCTAATAGCCATTTATCTTCAGATTGTCAAAAGCCATCTTTTCCTAATATTTCTTCTTCCTCCATCTTTCCACTAGCACTCAGTGTTCAGCAATCGATGCCTTTATTCTCTTTGGGTGTTACTGCTTCAATTTGCTCTATTCCTCTACCAACTTTACCGTGTTGCTAGTGTCTGTCATTTAAGAATTTCACTCCCTTGCAGCAGTGTAGCCCAAAGGAGAATAAGCGTCCCGGAGGAATCTGGGGACAGTAACCTAGGCTCTGTTTGATGTGGTGTGGGCCCACAGGCAGCAAAAGAACCAGGTCAAGTTTTTCAGTAATAAACTGTTTAGTATTTACTGCTGGATTGATTGCTCGTTGAGTAGTATAGTACTCTGTTGGGAAAAGAAATGACAAAATTAAGTAGAATCTTGATTTGGGAAGGTGTGGGGGGTTTACTAAAGAACAACTGCTCATTTATTTGCATAGTGCAAGAAAACATGGGCATCAGGTTTAAAACAAACAAAAAGAAGTATTTTTTTGCATAAACAAACTTAATGACAAATTGATGTCTTCAAACTCCTCCTGCCTGCAAGTATAGACCTTTCCAGAAGCAAATCCTGTCCCCACTGATACTTGCATTTCCTTAAGCGAGACCGGCGATTATTTAAATTGAAAAAAGCCACCATGGTCAGCAGGGGAAAAAAGTTTTTCGCAGACTTTTCTTGTTTTACCTTCTGCGATGTCTTTAGCAAATTTTTATCTGGAAGACTTGGAGCTGTGAGGAGGTACATCAGCTCTCGGGCAGTGCTTGTAGACAGCTCTGCAAGACAATGCCTCCTGAAGATACTTAGCTAAGCCCAGCTTGACTCTTCTTCAGAAAATCTAAGAGCCCTAAATGTCACCGCCTGCCCCCAGTCTGTCGTCTCGGCAAAAGCTGAGCAACAGCAAGTCTGATAAAAAGCCTTTTTGCAAGGTTGATAATACACTGACTCACATCTCCTTTTGCAGTAGCCTGTCCAGAAGGAAAACAGCTTTGTAGAAAAGTGACATTTTTATTATCCTGGCCTCGTTTAACCAAAGATGGTAAATGCCAACGAAGCAGGACGGTGCATGTGACTATAAGAGGCAATTTCATCTCACAGATCTCTTTGCTGGAGGGAGCAGTGATTTACAAACTGAAGTCTAAATCTCTGCGAGATGCTTGCACGTAATTACCATTATCTGGAAAAGAGGTGTATGCTTGATAGCAGGGGCAGTATATTATACGTTGAAGGAGTTACCCAAAGCCTTACAGAGGTACAGTGCCCCTTTTGTAGTATCTTGTCATTTGTGCTAAAGTTTCCCAGAGCAGTTAAAATAATAAGGGAGTGATAGCAAATTTCCTAGAAGATTCTTGTGCCTAGGATCTCACAGACCTTTCATATCCGTATCACAAATTTTACAGTTGGGGAATTAAGGCAGAGGGAAAAGCGGTGATTTGCTCAGAATTAGAGAAAAAAATACTGAAATTGTTTGGAACAGAAAGCTGGCTAGTCTTCAGACATCCAAGCCTGTGCTCAAACTGCTAACTGATATTATTCCTATTAAATAATCTAATGCAAAGATTCATCTGCTTAATTATTTTCAATAACCACGCACTGAGGTTATGCTTATACTACGATGGGAGAGTTTAAGATTAAATATTAGGAGAAATTGTAATGCCAGTGAAGCTGTCAGTAAAGTTCATATACAGCAGAAATTTCTCTGTTTTAATGGAGCACTTGTGAGGTGTTCCTGAAGGTTTCCAGAAAGATTTCACTTGACCTATCGTTAAAGATCAGTAGCATTAGAAAAGTGATGTTGCCAGTCCCTCGAGTGTTTTAGTTAAAGCAGGTTTCCCTGTACTTTCATTAATGGGCAGTCCCTCCAGCCTGCTTCACCAGAGTGATATTTCTAGGGATTTAGGCTTTTTGATTGTTTTTATTCTATTCTGTTCTTTCTAATATGTTTCAAGAGCCTTTTGGTCTCTTTGGTATGAATCTAAAATATGAAACCTTACACTGTAGAATAATGTCTTGAAATTGATTGTTCTCTCTTACGTAGTGTCAGCATATGTGAAACTCGGCTTCAAAGATAACTTTCATAACAATATTGTCATTAAACCGATTCTTTTTAAATAGAAAACATGCAACACTTGTCTGGTTTTACCTTTCTACACATAGATTGATCAAAAGCTTTTTAGTCCAAATGGAGTAATTTTAGATTAATCAAACAACGCAAAGATCAAAAGTAATATTCGTTAAGAAGAAAGTGAAGAGGTTTTTCTCTGTACCTAATTCTCTTTAAGTCAGCCAATGGGATGCTTCTTTCCCTATTTAAGGGGGGGGGAAGTGTGTGATTGTTCTGACTTGCACTTGGCATATGTTTTCACATGTTGTGAAGTGAGAGTCACTATGTGCCCTTCTAATTTGACAGCATCTAGCAGACACTTTGTGTGCATGTAAATAGACACGCGCCATGAGGCAGCAGAGAGCCACACCAATGGTTCGGGAGGTTTGAATTTGCAACAAGTAGTAGAACATGGCTGAAGATATATATCTAAACGGACCATGAGCCAGCTCTCGGGAGTCCTACCTTCAGAAGCGAAAGAAATAGAGGTAGGGATTAGTATTCTGCCAAAATCCTTGATGTGGCTGTGTGAGGAAGGGAACAGCACAGTGCTGGGGTTCTCTCTCCCACGTCCGGGACCATATGCAGTGGGGGCAGCAAGCCTGATTCCTTCTAACTTACCATCCCAGCGTCATTAATCCCTATTTTATTTACCCCTTCCTGTGGCTGCACTGGCTCAGCCCTGGCCCAAACCCTTCAAACCAGGCAAATTTGCCGGCACGAAGAAGCTTTGGGACTGTGCTGTGGACAGATGGCTGGGCTCCCTGGTGAACGGAGCCAGCGGGTACGGTTCCAGCAACAGGCTCTGGCTGCTTCATTGGAGTAATGATTGATGGTGACTTATACAAGGGCTAAGAGTAATTCTTTGCTGTTAACCAGACTTGGCTACAGCAGAATGGAAGTGGAAATTTGTTGCTTCATTTATTCATCCTGCCTCTGCTTCCTTCCCGCCCACCCTTTGTGCTTTTTAATACCGAAAAGATGGAGCTACTTTGCTCAATCTTAAAATTGTCTTTCCCAAGATACTCTTAATTGTATCTCTACACCTTTTCTCATTCACAGGCGCATAAGAAGATTAAAGATAGAGGGAGCAGTAATAGATTTAGTTAGGTTTTAATAGGATTTGCAGAGGACAATGCAGAGAATGAACGCCATAGAGAATATTGCTACTCTATCTTTGATATCCCTAAGGCTTCTTAGGTAGTTTTTCACAGAGATTTTGTCTGTGCCCTGCATTCGGAGTCAAGACTCTCATTTTTCAATCGAGCATGTGTGGGTTTTTTTTTTACAGGAGTATCTAATCATCCGGGTAAACAGGATGTTACATTACAACCTGCAAAAATCATTGCAGCCATCATTTTGTATTATTTATTTGTGGCTTGTTAAGCATAGTTTTGCATGTCGACAGTGAGCTTTTTAATAGCTGTTACATTTCTAAAAGTGTCTGGTGTTTTTGTCTGATGTCAGATGAAGTAAAGGGGTGGGTTTAGATATATCTCATTAACAGTAGGCCTAGATTCATCACACCTTCAGACACGCAATTCAAGATGCTAAATTAAAAGCCTATTTCACATTTGGAGCCCAGGCTCCCAGAATAATTTGTGGAGGAGGTGGGTACTTCCAGAAGGTGATTCAGCACACCTGAAATCTGGATTACCCCTGAAGGTGCATTTCTCTGCTGACTGCAAGGGAAAGCTTCATGCATAATTTAGATTTATATGAGATTTAGGTAGACTGTGGTGATCAGCATTTTCTGTTAATTTCTAAGGTTTCTCTTGATATGCACCCGAAACCTGAGGCATCAAAAACTCCAGTCCCTCTTGAAAATATATGTCGACGTATCTTTACTTTGCTGCTAGTTGTGATCTCAAGCAGATTTTGGGTGTAAAAAAAATGTGAGGGCCAACCCCCCCCCCAACCCAACCCACAACTGTAACAAGGTTTACTTGTTTCATGACTCCCAGACTGTGCCCATCACCATATTTTCTGAGGTTCTGATAGTGCATTAAGCAAAGTGACCGGCAGCTGGTTCATGTTTGGAGAGACTCTGTATTATGAATCAGTATTTAACATCCAGTTCAATGCAGCATTATATTTAGCAAGTGGCTGTTGTGAGAGAAGTGCTGAAGCCTTTCAAAGTGTTTCCCAAAACAATACTGGGAGGAAAGACCAGCAGAAAGCTTTCCTGATGGAGAATCAGCCCGTATCCAGCCCTGTACCAGCATGGGGCAAAGTTTGTCAGTGTAGCATTAATATTTGCAATGTTTGTTGTCCTGGTCTGTCGTAATGGTTCAGACAGGAGAACGAAATGGCTTTTTGTCTCAGCTCTTTTCCTCATGTTGTTACTGTAAATCGGCAGAAACAAACTTTCTAAGACTTAATTTAAGTTTAGAAAGCAGGCACTTCTTTATTACAGCGCCGGACGCACAGGGGATCACTCCACCTAGTGTGCGTCCCGAGTTGCTCCACTACAAAAATTATATACAATCAAAATACACATATTCATCACATTTCCGAGAAACAACCTATTCATACGATTTCTGAGAACTCATTAATATATGTAAATGTCCATGACGCATGCGCTTTCAGGTACGCTGGTGGTCATCCAGGGTCCTCTGGTGGTCGTCCGTAGTCTTCCCCACTGTGTCTGCGGTCGTCCATAGTCTTCCTCACTGTGTCTGCTGGTTACAAGTTTCGGAACACACAGTACCCTAATGTTTTATTTCTACTATAACCAAAATCTGGCAATTTTACAACAATGTCTTAAACTTTATTTCTTTGCTGTTCTGCAGCCCAGCCATGGCCGGAGATTCTAGGATCTTCATGAACCAGGACATGGACATCGGAGTTACCTCCAGAGAGCCTAAGAAGATTCCCAAACAGGCTCGGGATGATGTCCCCATTGCCACTGACCGAACCCGCCTCATATCAGCAGAAGGTAAGAAGCCACGTCAGCGTTACATGGAGAAAAGTGGCAAATGCAATGTGCACCACGGAAACGTCCAAGAAACCTATCGATATCTTAGTGACCTCTTCACTACGCTGGTGGACCTCAAGTGGCGTTTTAATCTTCTTGTCTTCACTATGGTCTATACCATCACTTGGTTGTTTTTTGGGTTCATATGGTGGCTCATTGCCTATATCCGGGGAGACCTGGACCATCTTGAAGATGAGAACTGGATCCCCTGTGTTGAAAATCTCAGTGGATTTGTTTCTGCATTTCTCTTTTCTATCGAGACTGAGACAACAATTGGGTATGGCTATCGGGTCATAACGGAGAAGTGCCCAGAGGGCATTGTACTGCTTCTGATCCAGGCTATTCTGGGCTCCATCGTTAATGCATTCATGGTGGGATGCATGTTTGTCAAGATCAGCCAACCAAAGAAGAGAGCTGAAACCCTCATGTTTTCTAACAACGCAGTGATTTCCATGAGGGATGAGAAGCTCTGTCTCATGTTCCGGGTTGGAGACCTCCGCAATTCCCACATTGTCGAGGCTTCCATTAGAGCCAAACTGATAAAGTCCAAACAGACCAAAGAAGGAGAGTTTATCCCCTTGAACCAAACGGACATCAACGTGGGATTTGACACTGGAGACGACAGATTGTTCCTGGTGTCACCTCTTATCATCTCGCATGAAATCAATGAGAAAAGCCCCTTCTGGGAGATGTCCCGCACCCAACTGGAGAAGGAGGAGTTTGAAATTGTGGTCATCCTGGAAGGAATGGTGGAAGCAACAGGTAAGGAGTTGTCAAAATCAGTCACAATTTTGAGGGGGAAAGGGGAAAAATGGAGTGCACTAAGATTTTCCTGTCAATGTCACCTGGACTGAGAACATGTTGGGATTTGTCCTTCTCTAGGGACTGAGTCAGGTGGGATATTGTGGTCTGAGATAACTAGCGATTAAAAGGTGGGTCCTTCAGCTCATGTTGTAGTGTTTCACATTTATGTAAGTTGAGGGTTCAGATGAAGGGGTTGGTCGAGAAGCTGCCCATAATCACCTAGAACTGATCTGTGGGAGAAAAGGAATGGACTAAAAGAATTCCCGAGGTCTCTTGTGGTCCTGGTTGCTGTGATCAAAATTCATGGCACAAATCTTTTCCCATTTCTCCTCTGTATTAAAAATTGGCTGTAACTGTGCTATTTTAGGTATTGCTGTAGCGTTGCTTTTTAATGGAAGCTATGAAGGAAGTGCCCAAGTATTACTATATCCCATAAAACAGCATGTGCTGAAACTGAATGACTTGCACGTGATGCAGGACATGTATTTTCAAAAGGAGCTCAAAGAGGAAAAATACAGAAACTGCTTTTGTGACTCTTGCAACCCAGCAGCTGTTTAACAGCTTAAAACAATGCTGTGTAATGGGTAGATTAGGAGATACACTCAGCTGATTCCCAGTTTCCTCCTATGGGTGTATTTGTGGCAGGCGATGAAAGAAGTCTGCGTCCGTTTATAATAAATCTGGAAAAGTTGTGTGCCTCAGCTTTCCAAAGTGTAGAAAAGGGAGGTGGCGGCGTGCCCTTCAAGCTGAGCGAGTGGATGGCCACAGAGACCTCCTGGCTCCTTTCGGCAGGTGGGATGCAGTGTATCTCCTCGGGGTCTGGCTAGGCAGGAGGATGCTTTTACTCTGCAGTCTCACCTAAAAGACAGGGCACCATGGGGTCATTTTACCACCTGGAGCTAACTCATGGATTCTAGGCTTTGAGGAGGATCTGGCAGCCTCTGTCTGCTGTGCTTCTAGCACAGCAAGTGTGTTTAAGCACCCTGAGATGCTGAGGCTCCCTTCAGGCAGGCTTCTGGAGCCCGGGCTTGGCAGCATGCGTGGTTGGATCAGGGCCTTTAAGGGGAATGGGGCTGCGGACAGCACTCGGGAGAGAATTGCTATCTAGAGATGGGGAAACGCAGAAAGAGTCAGAGATGCAAAAGTAGATTTTGTAACAGTTATACAGTTTGTAACAGTTTTGTAAGTAGTTTTGCCCTTTGGTATTTGAGGATTCTAGTTATGAGATGGCCCTGTGAATCCAAGTTTTTTCTGTTGTATTTGGATTTTTTTTCATCCAGATGAGGCATGGGTTCTCTCTGAAATGCTAGCAAGGGTTTTCAGCTTGACATGAGTATTCAGTGGTATCAACACCCTGTCTCACAGGTTCTGGCCCTTGCTTACTATTAGTATTGTCCCCTTCTTGAGACTTGTCCTTGTTAGTCTCCTAACAGCCAGATTTAAGGGCAAATAGCCTCTCAGATGCATGCATCCCAGACCTTTGCTCTTAAAAATGGCTCTCTAGAGAGCTAATTCAGTTTGCCAGTATTTCCCTTTAGTCATTAGCTATTAGCAATAGCTGACTCTTGCAAACAGAGCTGATGGGAGGTTATGTATAGGTTGCACTGGACCTAGGTTGGAGTACTGTGTTGCGGAAGTGGAATTCATTTGGCATTACTGGGCAAATATTCTTTCCCAGCAGAGCATTGTAGAGATGTGGCAAAAGGAGTGGGTGGAAAAGACTATCAAAGGCAAAGATTTGTAATGGAAGCTTATTTTGTAGCCTAAACACTTACTAGATACTAGAACCTCCTAATCTGAGCACAGAATGCAGTTCCTTGTTTGTCCAAAGCCTCTTTCCTCCTCACAGAGTGACACTATCAAATTCTGTTTGAACAGCTACTGCACTGCCTTCCTCTTATGAAAGCTCAGCCGCTGCTAGATATGTATGAGAGGAAGTCATTATCAATAACAACCTCAAAATTAAAAGCATGGCATAGGAATAATATTGCTTTACAAATGGGCTCCTCTCCCAGAGGGATTGTACAGGCCAGTGTATAATGTTATTAAGGAGCAGGCATCTGTGGAAATGAATTATTCTGGTCTCAGAAGACGGGCTGTGAAATTCCAAAACTGGAGCTAGAACAGCCAGTTTGCATTGAACTTAGAGCAGAGTGGACCTGAGATGATGCCGTTATCTGATTCAGAGGCTGAGGTGGGTTTCTGAATGACATGTGGTCACTGGGGGGGTGGGATATTTTGCCCCAGTGAAAGTGGCTTGCAGACACACAGCGTTTGTGCTTTCCTGCTCTGTCCTCACACTTTGTAATACTGATAAAGCAGTTTGGGGGATATTAATCCCCACTGCCATACCTTAAAATTCGCTCCAAGCAAATTCTTTAGATTCTTTTCTTCCTATCGTATTGTTCAAGTCCCATCTGCTTTTGGGAATGGTATAACTTACTTACAGCATGACTTCTATTAAATCGTGACACTATTACAACCTGGTCAGGTTCAGGGCAGTACAAAAACGTAACAGACCATTTGTTCCCTCAGTAACCCCTAGGAAAGATGAGGAACCACCATCGCGGTGTTCAGAGGTACAACTGCTCAGCACACACAGCTCTGCTCATGGTGCACAAGAGGCGAGTCCTGCGTGCTGTCTCAGAGGTGGCTCAGCTCTCCAGTTGCTGTCAGGAGTAAAAACTAACAGAAACTTACTCCGTCTTTACAGACAACAGCAAATCATTCCGTGAATGCATCCTGCACTGGTGGGGAAAAGATAGCTATATTTTTTCAGAAGGTATTTTGAAAGCCGGTCAAAATGGGGATTGCCAATGTACAAATGACTAAAGAAATTTAAGTGTAATGTCTTGACTAAAAGCGTGAATATTTTTCACTGAGAATTTGGGACAGCAATTTTATAACTATTTCCAATAGCTTTAACCAACCACACACATATTACAAATGTAATGTATTGTCTCCTCTCAAACAAGGAACTCTTCTTCCTGACATTTAAGTTTAATTCTGCGCCAGCGGAAGGCAAAGAGGGTAAATAGTTTCAAGTGAGAAGTGTAGAATTAATTCTGAAGAGTTGAAACACTTCAAGTCATTGGTTTTTTTACAAAACAATGGCTTGAACATTGTGGTTTAAAACATTGTTTTTGTTTTCCAGTTGACTTGAATTTTCTGAACACTTCAAGTTGTTTTTTTTACAAAGTGAAACATTGTGTTTTAAAACCATGTTTTTGTTTTCAAGTTGACTTGAATTTTTAAAAGGATAAATAACAGCACGCTGAAGAATAGCAACACACAAGAAACATATCAGCCATTGCAATGTTTTTATTTTGCCAAAAAAGAAAATAAACATTGTATTATACTAGTGAGAGCTCTCCAGGGACCCACAGCTGTTCTACTGACTAACCCCCGAAGCCAGCTGCGGCAGAAAGCCTCCTGACACGGGGCTTTCCAATCAGTATTTTAGTGTGGCTGAGGCACTGTGACTCCAGGACAGGTTAAAAAACGCCAAAGGGAGACGAAGTTTCCCGGCAGATCTGTTGTGATCATTGCTGAGTGAAATGAGTGCTGTAAAGACAAAATCAATATAGATGACAAGTGTGCTGACTTCCAGTGCTGCTTCGTGGGCATCTTGAAAGCAGCAGCATCACTCACGGTGCCTACTTAATGAATTGGTCACAGAGATTACTTTAGGGAATTAATTCTCTTTCGCCTTATCTGAAAGGGACACTTGTCAAGATCAGCTGGCCCAAATTTGACCTGCAATAAAAGGGAAGGAAGTGAAGGCGGAAAATCTGTTTGCAAAGTGAATACGTTTTTGCTTTCACTGCCTTTCTGCTCGCCGCAGTGGCAACAAAAAACTAGAGCCATCCTGCTGACAGACTAGGTCTAGGCTGCTGTTGGCCAGGCCGCTTGCCCTTACCCACCTGATCCTGAACTCTGAACGTAGTGTATGGAGCAAGGCTGCTGGAACAGGGAAGAGCAGTGGAGATTCAGACCCCCCTTCCACATGCATGCAGAGTCAGCTGGGTTATGATGACGAATTTGGCTGGTTCAATGAGAGAACAGTGGAGAGTCCGATTTATTTATTATTGTATTTTATTTACTGACAATTAACCAAAACCTGGTTTATCAGTAGCTGTCCTGCAAACCTCATTCTGTATCTACAGTGCTATTGGCATGGGCACAGGGACAGCACTGCTTCTTACTTTACTCTTGGTCCTCCCTGGTTTTCATTACCTCTTTTTCCCACCTCCATGAAATAAGCCACAGGAGACAGTCCAGATGCCTGATTACTCTAGTCACTAAATGAAGTTTTAATAAACTCTTAGGAAAGGATAGGCATATATGTTTCTGGCTTCGAGTCTGTGATAAAAAGTGGTTTAATGATTAGAAGTGATTTACCTCATCCTGTCCCTGTGAGTGTGTAGGCAAACAGCAGCTTTTTTTGCACCTCAATTTATCCACCTTTACAGATGACATAGTCGAATTTCCTGGCTGTAAATATAGGACCAAAAGACGTAGTCACAACATAAGATATCCTGAAATTAATCATGATTTTCATGGGAGAACAAAGGAAGGGTGAAATTACTAAATGGAGTTTTCATGCATTCATCATCTGCTTTGGGTTGTCTTGTTTTGGTTTGCATTTTGCATATAAATAAGTTTTCTTTTCTGCAAGAAGGACCTTGCAGAACCGTTACAGAAACTGCTTATATAATTATAGGGAAGAGAGAGACGTCTCAAGTCATTCTTTTCATGAGCTGAATTGTCCTCCAGAGGTAGATGTTGGCAGGCTAGTCATCTCCGGTGCCTCTGCAGTCGCTGTAAATGCCTTTGGGAGGGGCCTGAAGTTACGTGGTGTGAGCTTGGTGCTCAGGTTCTGCCTGGTAGAGACATGGCAATTGAATCCAAGATCTTTAAATGTTAAGGTCCTTTCTTTTTTTCTTTTTTTTTTTTCT